GGACTTCTCTCTGAGAGGCAGCCAACGCATCATGTCCTCTTTCCTCGAAGAGAATGGGGGCTTCAGATGTGGCGTGCCAGCTGAATTACTGTGCCACCATTAGCTGACACTATAAAAATGTTGACCAAATCCCCCATGTCTGAGGGCTGGTGGCAGGAGTCAGCCCCAGGCTATTTAGCTGGCAGCGAGGCGGCTGCAGCCTAGCAGGAGAGCCCGGTGGGCAGGTGAGGGTGCCGGGCGCAGCGGGCGGCGTGGCTAGAAATCCAGAGCCCAGTTGGGAAGTGTTGTCCAAGCTCTTCCCAAATTGGGGTGTGCAAGGACAGGTTCTGCATGCTGGGGAAGGGATGGGTAACAGCCGGGCAGGGGCGAGGGCATATCAAATGGAGTTTCACTGAGGCACTAAAATGCTCGTCAGGAGCCCAGTGACTGTGCGCACCAGGAACACATCCTCCACGCGGCCACAGCTGCAGACCACACCCGCCGGCACGGGAGCTATGAGGAGGAGCCCGCAGGGGACAGCTGACTGGCTCGGGCGCAAACTCACCCTGGGGACCCCAGGGCAAGAGGCTGTCTTACCCTGTCAAGAGGGCTTCCACTATTATGAGTGGATTTCTGGTAGAAAATGACCAGCTACAGAGAGAGTAGGGAAGATGAGACAAACCATCAGCTTCATGAAGCCGAAGCAGCTGGGTTGAAGGAGCCAAGACAGAGGACAGCAGACTCGGAAAATGTCACGGGGAAGAAGCAGTGTCCAGAGCCTGCGGCCACGCGCAGCTAGGGAAATGTGGACTCACTAAAGTGAATGAGGTGGGAACGTTCCTAGCCCCATCCCAAGTGCTACCAGGCGCAGGAGGCGGGGGCTATGTCACAGAGAGTGCACATGGGACGTTGTAATAACTGCGGAAATCCCACTGGAGAGAGCTGGTTTGGACACCCCACTCCGTCCTTTGGGTCTGAAATGCCTTGGGGCCCTAATGTGTCTTGCAACACGAACACAAGCCTGAGGCGGCAGGTGCTCTTGTTTAAGAAAGCTGGGGCCAGGAAGGTCAGTGAGTGTTTCCACTTTGGGACCATTCACCTCTCTGGACTATTCTCAGGCCGGGAGAAAGCTGAAAAGAGAGACCAAGGCCTTGGTGACAGAGGGCTGCCAGGGTCAAATCCCCCCCAGCACCTCCCCCTTCGGGGGGAGGAGAAGAGCGGTCAGAAACCTTCCATTTGGGTGAGCGCCTCCTCTACCGAAGAGGAGAAGGCTGAGCCCCTTCCTCTGCTGCTCGTCACCCCCTCGTCCCTGCGGAGTCATGTCAACAGCAAATCCCAGGCAACCGGGGTCATCAACACTCCCTGTGGCACTAGAACCTGTGCTGACAGAGGAGTCTGTGACGCAGCCTAGGTCCTCTCTTCCTGATGTCAGAGCCGCCCACCTGGCTTGAAGCCTGGGGACCCGGGCTCATCCTATTGGCCGCGAAGGTCTTGGGTGGCTCCCTTTCTCCTGCCACTTTCCACCTGAAGTTCCGCCTGGAGTTTTAACTGGGATTGTTCTCCCTGTGGAGCAGTGTGAAGGGAGATGGCACCTTCATAATATTAGGTTTTCCAGTTCACGAGCACGATAGAGTTCTCCATTTACTAAGTTTTCTTTAATTCCTCTTTATGACATTTTATAGTTTTCTCTGTAGAGATTTGAGACATCTTTTTTCGTTAGATTTATTCTTAGGCCTTGGATATTTTTGCAGCGCTGATCATAAAGTGTATCTTAAAAGTATTTCTCCATCTTTTCTGATAAATTTCAGTTCATGATGGGAAGACAACCCAGCCATTTAGTTATTTTTGGACTGTTCCAACCAAAGGTTTTGGATGCTGATCCGCTCGGTGTTGCACGACCACGCGGGGCCCAGGTCTGACCTCGCAGGCCCCCCTCCTACTGGCAGGAAGAGGATCCTCCGCGCGCTGTCAGGTGTTCAGATCGGTCCTGCTGAGTCAGCCTTCCCGTCCCGCCAGGCATCACCAGACAGACCGAGGTTCTGGTGGGGAACTGAACTGCTCTAAACTGGCTTATATTCACGCACCCACAGTTGTGTGTGTGCGTGTGCGTGTGCGTGTGTGTGTGTGTGTGTGTGGTACAGAGTGTGGATCAAGGAGTGGGGCAGTTGAATTCGGGGCAGGGGTTTACTTGAGTAAATTCATTTTCCATAAGAGCAGATAGAAATGAAGAACTTGGGAGCACTGATCACCACGAAGACAATGAGAGAATGAAAGCAAGAGCACAAATGGCCAACCGACTGACCGACCGACCGACCGACCGACCGACAACCAACCGCACAGACGAAAAGGATAGAGAAGAAAAGTCGAGTGGTGGGACGTTAGATAACTTCTCCGTGGCTGGGACTAGTGTCAGCCTTCGGCGTCCTCCCCGCCTAACTGTCCTTTTACGGTGAATGCCTACAGGTGCGAGCGCATCCACGTCACACACAGTCATCCGGTGAGCTAAGAGGTGCCCAGGGAATTCCGATTAATGGGGAGTTGATTCCAAGTCACTGTATTTCAGGTCCTTGTCAGAAGCCCTGGTTCTCGGGCCAGATTCAGGTAGAGATTTTAACCAGAGCTCCGAGTCGTTTCTGGTTTGGTTTTCTGCCTGACATGTTCGGGGACGCTTTTCCTGGGATCTATTTCTTACTGCAAATGTGCTTAGGAAGCAAACAGGGAGCCCTGCCTTCCCAGTACTCTCCCAACCGGCCAACCTTCTTGACCTACTGCCAGAAGTCACTTTAGAAGTATCACACAAATGGTCCCTTTTCCTTTCTCTTTACACCCAAACCGACCCTGGCAGGTGGGAAGCAAATGGCCCAGCCTGGCTCTCCTGTAGGAAAAGCCTCCTTCATGTTCCCCATATTCTCACGCTAGAAAAGTAGGGCCGAGGAGCCCGGGAGGCACTCTGTGGTGCAGTCACCACTACTGGCCAGGCCGGGAAGCCGCTTGTGCTGGGTCTGCAGGATTCAGGTGGCGTGGCTCAGGCGGAGGCCCCGTCAGGTGCCAGTTTCATTGCTCCTCGGGCAGGTCGGCTTGCTCATCTGCCTCTCGGTTCCGGAAGTCCTCTGCCGGGCTCTGCCCATGCGTCGGGCGGCAGCGGAACACCTCTGAGTCAGTTGTGAAGTGACTCAGGGTTTGAACTATTTAAACCACGTGTCTCATGAAGCCGGAGGGAAACGATGCCGTTTCCCCACCTAGCGGCTTCCATCCGCGCTGGAAGCTCCACTTGGCAATGTCCTTCGTCCCCGGCCGGGCCGGGCCGTGTTGCTGCGGCTGTGAACCTGTCAGTACTGAGGCCACAGGTGGGCGGAGGCTGCGGGCCCTTCGCATGGCCAGGGACCTCCAGTGGTCTTCGCTGGGCCGGGACAGAAATGTGTGCCCCTGAACGGGACTGGGCATGGAAGGGCCGTAGCGCTGCCCTGGGGGAGGCACGGGAACCCCCTTCTTATCACCAAATGACCTCCTTAGGATCTTGTTCTCTGACAATCAGCCAAAATCCCTAGGTCTTCTTTGAGTGAGAAGAAGAACCAGCATTTTAAAAATATTATCTATCTTATTTTTGAAACACCTCAAGATTGTTTCCCTCTTTCTAGAAAGTACCCAGCAGAACGCTGGGTGTGGGAAGACGCTGACAGGTTGGTGTGGTCAGAGGTGTTAGACTCTGTTCCCAGGTAGGCCCCTTGGTACCGGTGTAATTAATGCTACACTTAATTGCTCCAAACTTCTCTTCCCTCTTCCCTGAAGTGGGGGTGCTGAGACCTATCTTACAAGGGCATTTGGAGGATTGTATGCAATGGAGTGCGTGTAGCACACGGTAGGTTATCAAGAAATGTTAGTTGAATGTTAATTCAAAGAAGATGATGGATAGCTTGTCAGTGAACACGGATGCAAGAGCCCAGGGGCACCCTGCCCCAGTTAGTCCTGGGACGGTCCAGGTCTGAATGAAAGCAGTCCAGGTGGCCAGAGACTCCTCCTTTCGGCCTTCTGCTGGTCTGTTGCAGTGGGGGGACTAACCAAGGACGGGAAGAGAAGGTTCAGAAAGCCAGAGAGATTTGCTCAGTGGTGATGGACAACTCTCTCAGAACCAGCTCTTCCCGTCTCCTCGCTCCCAGCAGCCGCTGTGGCAGCCGGGGACCCGGAGCCGCTGCACACCCTCCCTCCGAGGCAGCCGCCCGCGTCGGGAATCCCAGGCCAGTGGACGCCGGTGGTCCTCACCAGACCTCAGGGTGGGAACCGGTGCTGCTTAAACCAGCCTGCTCCTCCATTCTCCAGGACAGGGGGCGGGGCCGGCCAAGGAGGGCACAGATAGTCCAAGGTGACAGGGAATCCAGCCTTCCCTACTCTGCCTCGTTCATCCAAGGCTTCTGCTCTCGTCTCCCAGACGTTTTTTGAGGAGCTGCTTACAAGAGGCAAAACACACGCCTTTGCAGGCAACGCACTTCCTGTACTGGAAGGCGCCAGGGGCGTGATGTAGCCTCTGAGGTGGGGACGGGAGGCCCCACGGGCAGCACACTGAGCTCCGGGCCAAGGCAACCCTGAGCTTTCACAACGAGCTTGGCCTGTGTGGCTGGTGGAAAGGGAGGAGGGGAGAACAGAGGCCCCCGTGGATCTGGAGGGCTGGGCCTGGAGAGGTTTGGTTTGCCAGTCTGTGAGCATAGTTTCTTCTAGATTAGGTACTGGGGGAGGGACCAGAGACAAAGTGAGAAATGGAAAAAAAGAGCGTCATCCGCCTTCCATGGATGGAAAGGCCCAGCTCAGGGAGGGATCTGCAGACTGTACATTTCAGCCATGGTCCAGACCAAGAGCGGAGATTCTCGCTCAAAGACCTGACCTGGTCCAACCTTGGCAGGTTTGGGAGTTGGAGCATATATCTCACATCAGAGAAGATGTGGTCCTTCACTGACGATTTCTGTCCCTCACTCTCCTTCCCTGGGTCTGGCCCTCAGGCACAGCAGATGCTGCTTTCAGAGGCTTACCTTGGGCTTAAAGGCAATGAGCTTCAGAATCATCTCCACAGTGAAGAGGCCGGTGAAGAGCATGTTGAGGATGTTCATGGCGTTTTTAAACAGGCAGCTCTGACCGTAGTGCTGAGCGGAGGGGAAGAACTGTGAAAATGGGCCAGGGCCCTCCCTACTCCTCACCACCCTCGTCTCAACAGAGGTGGTCCTTGAACCACGTCCTGCACATCTCCATGGGCAGCCAAGTGGACTCAGGACATCTTACAGGTCCTGCCCTTCTCTGCCATCTCCGAAAGCAGAGGTCAGCAGAGCCCTACGTTCCTGCTGTGATGGGTTATGACAGCTTCATGGAGACTCCTGGTACTCAGAAGGGCACTAGCCATGAGTTGACCTCCCTGAAGATACGTGGTGCAGAGTCAACCTCCATGCGCCACGCCTTATTGACAATGACGCACACTTCGGGCTCACCCTCTGCTCTCCATTTCCTCCACGCTCCCCATTTTCTCAACCTAGGGGCCTGTAGGTTCTCTCCTAAGGTCCCAGAGAGGAGCTCATCTTGAGAAAGAACACTTGTCTTTCCCCATCTGGGAGAAGAGGACAGCTCTTCTGGCCTTTCGACCTCCTTTGGCCACCAGGAAGGTGGCCAACCAGAGATGCCCGGGCAGCCCTTGTATACCCCATTCCCTCCCACAGCACTCGCCCCCAAGGGCACCACGGACCAGGGCCCCCTGGACTCACCTGCATGGCCAGGCAGATGGTGTTGAGCAGGATGAGGACGAACATCAGGTACTCAAAGTAGGTGGAGTTGACAACGTACCACACTTTGTACTGGTGCTGGTTCTTGGGGATGTACCTCCGCAGGGGCCGGGCCTTGAGGGCATATTCCACACACTGTCGCTGGGAGGGAGGCAGTGGGGGCACAGGATGGGGATGGGGAGGGAGTGTGGTTAGTTACCTGGATGACGGGTGCGGGGTGCCAGAGGAGGGTGAGGTGTTGATGAAACCACCCCCCTGGGGGTAGGGTTCTCTAGGAGTCAGAGTGTCATCGACTGCTCCAGTTCACTTACAGGTTTGAGGTATTATTTGAACATATTTCCTATTTTTCTCTCCCTCCCTTGATCAAGGAGAGAATCTCCTCTAGTTAATCTCCTTATCACGCTTAGCTGAGGAGTACGTATCTCCTTTCTTTCAACTCGTAATGCTTGATACAATGCTGACACCTGCTCGGTATTCTGTTGCCTGTGTCAGACTCTCCTTGGGGTGCGTCTCTCCTCAACTTTCCTTTCCTGTCCTCAATCGATCTTCCTCATTTGCCAGTGTCTGCAGACCAGAAGACACATGGATAGGCTATGAGGTCGTGGGCTAACTGGATTCTTGGGACGGCAGCCCAGGACCAGTTCATTTCTCAGCACGGTGCCCAGATTTCCAAGTTTGGGGCTGGGGAGTGGCTCCAGCCTCATCTCTTACCCCCAGCCTCCGCATCCGGTCTCTGAGCCTCTCCACTGTTCTCTCCATCCCTACTGTCATTAACCTGGGAGCAGACGAGGCTCTGATCATCTTCATCTATGCTCTCAACCGGTCTCCTTCCTTCCTGTCCTACTCCCAAACCAAGGTCCACACAGCCGTCAGAAGGATGAGTCTAAACCCAAGACGTCGACATCAAATCCTGTGAGGGGTCCAGCTGGCCTGCCTGGGCGGGGCTCCGCGTCTGTGACTCGCTGCTTTCCACAAGCAGACCTGAGGTCGCTCATGGACAGGGATCTATTTCCCCTGTCCCGTGGGGGAACCTCCCTGGGACCTGACCTCGGGGACCGCCCGCTGCAGCCCACCCTAACAGCGTCCTCCCTCACCGGCGGGGTCACCAGCCCTTGCTCGCAGGCTAACAGAACAGGCCTGGTACCGGGCATCACCACAGCACTCCTACCGAAGCCTCTGTCCTGCCCCCACCTCGGCTCAGGCCTCTGGGTTTGACTTGAGAAGCCATTTAATGGTGGTTTTCGAATGCCACCCCCCCAAACGCTCCCTCCTTCGCTGTTCTGGTTTCTTCCTCTTTGTCAGTGGGGCGAACCCGTGTGGGCACTTTCTAACTCGTCAGCTTCGGATAGGGCTCGGGGTCCCCCCTGGTCTGCCATCGAGTCTCCTTGAGTAGACACAACGAACCGTTAGTTGATGGCTGAACGTGCTGGGCAGACCTGGGGTTTGCGTTCCCTTTGCCTAGGCTCCTGCAGAAGACAGGGAGCCCCATTTTCACTGAGAGGAGCAGAGAGGTGATCTTCGTATCCACACGGAGCTCTCCCCTGACCACAGCCTCTGCTGGATGGGTCACGGGCTGCCAGGGGCCGTCATTCCGCAGGTGGCCCTGCCCCCCCCCATGGCCTCCTGGCCTCCTTCCTGGGAAGCTACCTGGTTCTTGTCCAGCTCACAGTTCTTGTACTCCTGCTCTCCCTGCTCCTGGAAGGTGACGATGACGAAACCCACGAAGATGTTCATCATGAAGAAGGCGATGATGATGATGTAGATGATGAAGAAGATGGAGATCTCCACGCGGTAGTTGTAGATGGGGCCCTTGTCTTCCGTGTGGGAGTCGATGGAGCGGTACAGCAGCCTGGAGGGGGACAGGCCCCAGAGGGGAGCTGGAGAAGCAGTGTGACCTCTGTGGAAGGTGGCACTGCGCCTAGGGGCCCTGGGCTCGCGGCTGCCGCAACCAGCTCTAGGCTGGGAGTCGGAAGACCTGGGTTCAAGTCCCAGCTATGCCACCTACTGGCCTTGTGACCTAGGGCAATCATTCCACCTCTCTGAGCCTCAGAATCTCCATCTGTAAAGTGGAGATAATAATTCCTGACTTTCCCACCGGACAAAGTAGTTGATATAATGTATAGAAAGGTGTTTCAAAACTGTCAAAAATTATTGTAATGGAACATAAATCATGAACATTGGTTTCAAATACTGGAAATATGGATAAATATTGAAACAGCTTTTCAAATTGACATAGACTCAGAGGATGTTACAGTGAACATAAAATACATCTATCAGAGACCAGATGTCTGTTTAGATAGAAGGAGTAGATAACAAAGGACCCAGGCTTATCCGGGCCATCAGCAGCGGTTTGGATGTACACGTGGGTGGTTACAGGTGCATGCCCTCCGCCTGGGCCTGGGCTCTGTGCCCATCAAGCTCCTTCCTCCTACAGACAGGGACTGCCTCTTCCCCTTCCTTTCTTGCCCATCACAATACTGGGTTATCCTCTAGGTATTGTCTATATTTTTGTTATATAATAATGGTGGCTTTTATCTAAGATCATGTGCTGTTGTTGACTCAAAAATAAGTAAAACTGCCCTGGCCGGTTTGGCTCAGCAGTTAGTGTCGGTCCACGGACCAAAGAGTCTCGGGTTCAATTCCGGCCAAGGGCATGTACCTCGGTTGTAGTTCATCCCTGGTCCTGATTGGGGTCGTGTGGGAGGCAACCAGTCGATGTGTCGCTCTCACATCGATGTTTCTCTCTCTCCCTCTTTCTCTTCCTCCCTCCTTCCCACTCTATCTGAAGATAAATGGAAACATATCCTCAGGTGAGGATTAAAAATATATGTAGAACTTTCTGACTTTTAGATGATGATTTCCCTGGGATACAGAGGTGGGTGGAGCAGGGGTCTGGGCAGAGGTGTAAGGTGCACCCTCTGGGAAGCTGCCTGGCACAGGGGGTACAGCGAAAAGGCCAGCCCGCTGGTGGTCTGCAGAGAAACCCCAGCCAGACTTCCATCCCTTCCTTACTTTGCACTGTAAGTATACACATGGCTTTCTCTAAGGGGGGTGGGGTCGAGTCTAGTTAAACAGAGACCCCCCCTCATCTTCACCCACGTTGATTGCACGCTGGGAGTGATGGTCTCGTGGTGAGCCAAGGACCCACAGAGGACAAACTTGCCCCACAACCCACTCACTCCCAGATGCCATGAGGCTAACGACAGAGACCCCTGCCATCGGGGTTCACTCTGAGGTTGGTTGGAGTTTCTGAAGTGTTGACATCTTCTAGAATAAGAAGAGTGTCTGTTTCGGCAGTGATGTTGGTCTCCGAATTGTTCTAGAGACACACCCACACTTCCTGGGGAGGACCCCGGTAAGTAAGGCCTCTGGGAGGAGCGTGGGACAGTGATAAACATGAGGACTCTGTGAGGACAGCGTCTGGGCCTCTAGCACCAGGTCGGGGCCTGGATCTGCGTACTCACTCTGGCCACCCCTCAAAGGTGGAGACAGTGAAGAGCGCCATCATGGCTGCCAGGACGTTGTCAAAGTCGAACTTGCTGTTCTCCCAGTTGCGAGGCTGGATGATGGGGTGGTCAACCTCCCCGTCCTTGTATGTGATGTAGTTACCCCTGAGGAAGGAGGAGAAAGAGCCAGTCGAGGGGGCTCCCATCTCCTTTCACACCTGACCCACCAAAGGCTCTTGGCGCGCTGGATGGGATGGGACTGGTTAGGCTTGGACCCCACGGCCCAGCCATCGGGAGGAGCTTCCGTGGGGAGGACCTGGGACGAGCTATATCCATGGGACCAGATTGTCGCTGGGTAGAAGTCCAGCTGCCACTGCTGTCTGAGAAGGGACGGCTGCCCTCCTCCCGCCACGTGGCCCGCCCCGCGTTCACGGCCCGGCGCCGGCTGCCGCCTGCACTCACTTGCACTCGGCCTCGGTCTGCTTGGAACTGTCCGAACAGGTGTAGAGCTTTCCCTGGAAGGCGGAAGGACGAAGCGATTGGAGATGCTCATGCAGCAATGAGCCAACCAGAAACGACCACCTCTGCGGCCCAGCGTGTGCCAGGGAGGTGGGACGAGCAAGTGAAGGGAGAGCAGAATCCAGGGGGAGCACCCGAGTCACACACCGAGGCCGTCAGAGAACCACTGGGGTTCACAAAAGGGAGCTCCAACCCACGGGTGCTGGCTCCTTCGGGGGTCTCGCGAGGAAGAGGGAGGTGAGCGGGGCTTGGAGGGACGGCGGGTGGGAGGACATCAGCGGAGGTTTGTTGGAGGGTGGGACAGGGCAGGGAAGGATGCTTCCGATGGAGGATAACAGAACTAAAGGGATGAGGGCGGACAGCGAGGAAACCAAGGACGCCGGGCTCCCTGGAGCGGAGGGAGCCCGTGGGAAGCAGGGAGAGAACCGGGAGAGGCAGGGTCTGACGCCGGAAACCGCTGCGGTTCACGGGTGCCCCACTCGGAGGTTTCCGAGCACAGGACTCCCTCTCCCTTGACTCCAAGCCCGAAGGGCAGGCAGCACCCAGAGGGCCAGGGGTCTTCGAGGTGGGGCAGCGCCTCCTCCAAGCCTGTCCCTCTGGGGAGCTGCCAGCGGCCCCGTGGCGACCTCTCCCACGACTGCCCCCGGCCACAGCCCTCCTTTGGGGTATCTGCCAGGTCCCCCTCCCAGAAACGCTGGCGGGAGAAGGGAGGGCGAAGACGAATCAGAGCCAAGACCCCGATACCTTGAAGAGCTGGACCCCGATGCAGGCGAACATGAACTGCAGCAGCGTGGTGACAATCACGATGTTCCCGATGGTGCGGATGGCGACGAACACACACTGGACCACGTGCTGCAGCGGGAGGCAAGGCGGGCAGGGCTGTGGTTTCAGGAGACGCCCGGACCGTACCCCGGGCTTCCTTTGGCCGAGTACGGGCAGCCCTTTGCCACAGTGGGGAACTCAGACTCTTAAGAGGCAAAGCACCTTCCTAGGGTCACATGGGATGGAATCCAGCGGAACACAAAGACCCCATTGGGCTCTGGTTAACCACAGGGAAAAAAGCCCCACTAACTCCCCATTTCGTAGGGTAGGAATACAGGGACCTCATCGCCACTGGGTCTCCTTTCGCAAAAGTTTTGCTTAGGAGTTCAGATTCTGAGCAGCTGCCTGTCATCGACCTTGAAGTGGGACTGGACAAGCAGCAGGTCAGTCCAGGCTGCAGCAGGGCAGCTCCTCGACCCACCACTGCCTCCTCCCTGCAGCCCCCCCGGCTTAGTGCCCGCCAGCCCACAGCTGGCTGATGCTCGCGGCCGCCGCCCCTGCCCAGGCCGCCTCTCACCTTCAGTCCCTTGGCTCTGTTGATGGCTCTCAGGGGCCTGAGCACGCGCAGAACTCGCAAGATCTTTACGACGTTGATTGCACTGGACCTGGGAGAGAAGCAGGGCAGAGAGTGAGCGTCTCCTGTTTTTGGTAAAAGCAGCGGAGAATGGGGTGAGGGGTGTCCTGGCAGGTAACCCCAGGCAAACCTGAGAACATGTGATGGGGGCTTTCTCACCCCGGGACCCTTCCCTACCCCCAGCTCCCACCCGACGAGGACCTGAGGCTGGCCTGCCGCCTAGACTGTCCTGTGGGGGAGTCGATAATATGAAAAGCAACTCCCCAGGAGTCACGGCCAATATCGTGAGCTACCCAGGGGCCTTCCGAGTCCTCAGAGACACGGCTTCGGCGGCACAGCCCTGAGTTCGAACCCAGCTCTGCCGCTCACCAGCCAAGTCACTGAGGATCAAGTTCCTAACGTTTCTGAGTCCCAGTCTCTTCACTCGTGAAATCGGAACGTGGTCACTGCATGAGGTGTTGCAAGGATCAGTAAGGTGTGAGCCGCCTGGCAGTGTGTGGGGCGCATGCTGTGAACTGAACACACGGCAGCCTGACTATGAGGTCTGAGGAAGACGTCGCTGAACTTGAAGAAATAGTCCACAATGGCAGCACTGCAGGCCTGTGGTAGGAGGCGGAGGGCACAGGCGGGAGGCACCCTGGTGCTCATATTTACCCGGGTCCTAGGGGTTGCCCACTGTGCTTATGTGCAAAATGCTCTGGGTCATCGCACAGTCAGGACTTGAAGGAATGGATTCTGCACAGCTGGTCCCCACACCTAGGATGCCGGGACCACAGGGGGACTTCTGGGGGCCTCGGGCCAGGGATGTTCCCTAGTGGGAAGGAGGCACTAGGGTGCGAGCCCCCACCAGCCCCTCAGCAGGAGGGGCTACCCACCAACCCAGGTGGCCTTGTTCACCATGACAGCTGGGCGAGCAACTCTAACTATCACATGATAACCATCCGATTGAGATCCTCCTCTCTAGCTTTTGAGGACAGCCTTATACCCACCTTGGGACCTAAAAAATGTACGACACCAGCAAGTGCTCATTTCATTATTCAGGTGGTCAGGATGAGGTGCTGAAGGGGGAGCCGGTAGAAAGATCTGAGTTCTCTGGTTCATGGGTCTTTCATGCCAAAGGATGCAGAGGACATTCCTATCTATCTGCGTAGCTCAGGGAGGGAGTTGGTTTGCATCGAATTACAACAGAAGGGATGTAAAAGGTCGATGGGAAAAGCACAGACTGAAGCGGGGAGTTCTTGGTTCACAGTTACACAGTGATTTCGTGGTAGTGCTGGGACTAGGACCAGACCTGCAGGCTGGCTGGTTGTGGGTCATAGAGGTGATGATCAGAGGAGAGTCTTATACCCCATCTAACACCCCCATCTCCACACTTTCTAGGCTGACCATGAGGACACCCTTGGGAGTTGAGACCCGAGATCATTTTCTTTGCCATCGATATGACCTTGGGTGAGTCTCATAATGTCCTGGATCTGTTTTGCTGTCTGCGGGTTGGTGATAACAGTCCTCGCCGCCGGCCTCGGAGGCTTCGGTGAGGACCACAGAGTGCGTATGCGGGGTGCCGGAAGCACAGAGCAGGGGCAGCCCTGTCGGCTGATACAACCTGGGAGAGGCTTGTACTCAGATTCTTTGCAACCTGAGCAAGGTTTGCAACCTTGGTGTGTGGTGCAACCACCTGGAGAGTTTTTAAACGTCTTAAACCCCAGGCTGTACCCCAGACCAGTTTAAAATAAAAAAACTCTGGGGAAAATGTCTTCTTAAAAGTTACTTAGGTGATTCACTGTGTAGCCTAGACAGAGAATAGTTCTCTCTCTCTCACATCGTCACCCTTTCTCTCTCCCCCTCCCTCCCTCCTTTCTGCTGCTTTCTCTCACCAGGTGCTTTGCCTGGAGACAGAGGAGGGAGGATGGACCGGAGACCCGGGCAGATCGTGGCAATGGCAGATCCTTGGAGCTGACGGCCACCAAGGGCCCTGGGCACGTGGCGGAGGGGGGAGGAAGGCCCTGGAGACTTTATTCTCATTATGACTGGGTTTGGCCCTCCCTGCCATGGAAAGATCCAGGCACACCCCAAGTGTCACACCCTTAGGGCACGACACGGGACACAAGAAATCAAAGCCGCCTTGTTGCACAAGTCAGCGGCCCCACCCCAGTCCCATCACAGTCCATGAGCGGGGCAGGAAGGCCCTCCAGGCCCTTTATGTCCCGTCTGTCACCCGCGGCTGGATGCACGCCCCGCGTCTCGGAGGGCCACTCACTGGATGCCAAAGGAGATGAGAGACACGCTGACCACCAGCAGGTCCAAGATGTTGAAGTAGTTCCGGCAGAAGGAGCCCTTGTGCAGGAAAGCCCCGTAAGCGGTCATCTGCAGGGAGGCACAGAGGAGCACAGTGTGAGTGCAGGGACCGAGCTCCAGAGACCCCCGCCACCCCCCCCACAGCACCCCGCTGAAGAGCAGTGAGGAGGCAGAGGACGGGGGGCAGGAAGGGCTGAAGAAGGAGATGAAGGGCTGAGAAAAGGGTTCTGCAACCACTCGGACAACCACCAAAGAATCCCTAGCTCAGGGTCTGTCAGCGTCTCCTTCTACCTGCCCAGTGATGCCAGACGCTTCAATCCCGTGTCTGCAGCCCTGTCACACCTGGCTGCCACCCGTTTCCCGTGGTCTGCTGTTCCCTGTCACGTGGCCATGGCTCCAGCCCTGCGGGGCCCTTGCTGTCAGACCAGGTTTCCCAACCTGCTCTCCAATTCCATAGACTCAGGGAGAAGGCAGGTCGTGCCCAGTAGGGTCGCCACCGTCCTGGTTTCCCGGGACTGTCCCAGCTCAGTTCTGAAAGTCTGGGGTCCTGGGCTGCCACGAGGTTTCAGGAAAATTGGGACAGTGGGCCTCTACTGCCCAGTGAGAAGTCCTACCCATAACAGGCAAGTAGCCTCCCCCCATTTCCCATCCTCATGCGTGCTTCTGACCTGTGCCAAGTACTCTGAACTTGGCTCTACTGTCTGAGTGTGTGAATCCCATCCCCGCTGTAGTTTATGTGTGTGGCCTGGGCAAGTTACTGAGCTTTTCTGTGTCTCAGTTTCCTCATCTGAGAAACGGGGGAACTGATAACATCTCCCCTAGAGATGCCGAGTGATCACATGCAAGTCCTTTAGAATTCTGTCCTGCTGGTGGTAAGTGCAGTGTAGCGCTCGGGCCAGAGGGCTTGGATTTGAATTCTGCATTCTTTCTGCAGGATGGAAGTTCGGTTTCCTCATCTATAGAGTTGGAACATGATCCCGTGCCTTTCGGAGGCACAGGCCACGTACTGAAAACCACGTGAGAGCCTTGGGAAAGCCAAAAGGGGACCCGTGGCATGATGAGGAGTATCGTCGATGGCTATCATTGCGTCCCTCAGAGCTCAATACAAAGCCACTCTACGTGCTCAATAAACAGCCTTGCCGATTCTGTTGACTTGAATGAAGGGTAGTGGATTTCCAGGTTACGGGCTGGGAGAGGCCATGGACCACAAAGCATCAGCCAAAGGGACACATCTGAAGCTGAGGTCTGAGGCCGAGGGCGGCTCCCTGGTCACCGGGCCCAGCTCGTCTCTTTGGATCACAGCGCGCCCAGGGCGGCATGTCTGCAGAGCGAGCCAAAAGCAAACACGGGAAACTGGCAAAAATAGCTCTCGCAAACTAGTTCTTTCCACTGATCTCTCGCAGCAGCGGGTCCAGGGGACTGGGGCACCTGGGCGCTGCCGTCGTTTCTAGCGAGCAGATTACATAAAAGGTTGCAGAGGAACACAGAGGGGGAGCTCTCCCCGAGGCCTGCCATCCGGAGGGCCGTGCTGCCCTGTCCCTCCGTGAAGATCCGGGGCCTCAGAGCGCGGATTCGGGTGGCTCCTGTGGTTCATGTTAACTAAAGAGCTTCTGTGCCCCTCGAAGGCCGAGCACCTTCCCTAGACACCCCAGCCCTCCTCTCAGAGAAGGTTCTGGTCTGCTCCCGCCTCGGACATCGTGAGGACGCTGCTGAGCTCCGAGAGGACCACCTGTGTCCGGGAAAGCAGTTCCCCGCTGGTGGACCATTGGGCTCAGAGCGCCAACGCCTGTGCCTCATCTGGGCTCCTGATGTGTCAGGGGAAAATGCATGCGCGCACGTGTGTGCGTGTGTGTGTGCGTGTGCGTGTGTGTGCGTGCGTGTGTGTGTGTGTGTGTGTGTGTAGGGGGCACATGGCCAGGCAGGGCCACGGGAAGGCCGGCTGTAAGAGAGAGGACAAGTGCATGCCAAAAAAATGGAGCATCTCCTTGAAAATCGCCTGCAGCATTCAGGGCACCGAAGAAGCCGAGGTTCAGGCACCCACTGTAAGGTCCTTCTTTACCCTGACTGCTGCCACCCAGCGCCTGGCTCCTAAATGTTAAGCCACTGCCTAGGAAAAGCCCACTGCTGGGGCATTTGCGGCCCGAGGAGAGGGACGCAGTGCGACACAGGGTCACGGACTCTGAGCGGGGAGGGCAGGAGCGCCCCTCTGCCAGCCACGGGGAGCACTGCCTCTGTGGGCGGCAATCCCGTTGTGAAATGTCCCATCTCTCATCATTTCTGCTCACTGGTCCCAGTTTCCCTCTCCTCCGTGAGACAGGCCGCCCGCCATGTCCTACAAGCCTCTTCTCGATGGCCAAACATCGGGTCTCTCATCTGCTCCTGAGACTAAATGCCCCTCCTGGTCGCTGGCCACCGTCCAGGCCATGGCAGGGCGCTGGCTTCAGGCCAGGTGAGGGCCCCGGGGGAGGAGGTCGGATTTACATTTAGAAGCACTGGAACAGTGGAAGAGGCCGAGCGGAGGGGAGGGAGGGGCTTGCCATGACAAGGCGTGTTCAGAGACCTCACATCTGCTTGTATGGCAGCGTTTAAGGCAAAACGGCACCATTGAAATCCGCAAAGGAAGCTCTGCACAGGGGCTGAGAGCTGGGCCGCGGAGCTATTGTTGCAGCACGGGATTCGGGGTGTCTGTGTGCCTCCCTGAGTCTGAAGAAAAAGCCCAGCTCCTCTTGGAAAGAGGGGTCTACACGCTGCCTCCCAGTGCAGCCGGGACGCCCTGGGCTCCCTCTCCCCACCCCCGGGAGCCGGGAGGGAAGGCCCGAGAAACACTGTGGTTAGCTGGGACCAGGGACAGAGCTGGGGGCTGGACAGAAACAAAGCAGGCACCCCACACTGCCCCACCCAAACCGTAGCGGGAAACGACAGAACTGTCCTGATGTTGAAGGGCAGGGTCATGACTTAGGAGAAAAAGAAGGGTCGGGGGCTGCCACGGCGCAGGGCCAGGGGTGGACATGGGTTTGCACCAGCCACCTGAAGGGGAGAAAAGGGAGCCTGGACCCCTTGAGAGGAGCACCCCAGGAGAGTGTTCCAGAAAGAAGACACTAAGCTGCACCTCGTGCTCTGAAGCCTTGACCCTTCTGCTGGGGCTGTGGGGGTCCCAGAGCCTTGAGCCTTCCACTGGGGCTGTTGGGGGTCCCAGAGCCTTGACCCTTCTGCTGGGACTGCTGTGGGGGTCCCAGAACCTTGAGCCTTCCACTGGGGCTGTTGGGGGTCCCAGAGCCTTGAGCCTTCCACTGGGGCTGTTGGGGGTCCCGGAGCCTTGAGCCTTCCACTGGGGCTGTTGGGGGTCCCGGAGCCTTGAGCCTTCCACTGGGGCTGTTGGGGGTCCCGGAGCCTTGACCCTTTCACTGTGGCTGTTGGGGGTCCCAGAGCCTTGACCCTTCTGCTGGGGCTGTTTGGGGTCCCAGAGCCTTGACCCTACTGCTGGGGCTGTTTGGGGTCCCAGAGCCTTGACCCTACTGCTGGGGCTGTTTGGGGTCCCGGAGCCTTGACCCTACTGCTGGGGCTGTTTGGGGTCCCAGAGCCTTGACCCTACTGCTGGGGCTGTTTGGGGTCCCAGAGCCTTGACCCTACTGCTGGGGCTGTTTGGGGTCCCAGAGCCTTGACCCTACTGCTGGGGCTGTTGGGGTCCCAGAGCCTTGACCCTTCTGTTGGGGCTGTTTGGGGTCCCAAAGCCTTGACCCTTCTGCTGGGGCTGTTTGGGGTCCCGGAGCCTTGACCCTTCTGCTGGGGCTGTTTGGGGTCCCAGAGCCTTGACCCTACTGCTGGGGTCAGAGTGAAGTCCATGCCTTCGCCCGGGGAGGAGGCAGATGCTGAAACGCACTTGCCCAGTTCTCAGAACTCACACCCTACATCTCGGACGAGCTGCGTGGCGATGCATCACTTAGAGACTGGGAAGTACACCGGATACTCTTAGAAATCATAACAACATAACTATCAGTAATCTATTCACACAAATGGTAAGAAAAACTTAGGAAAAACGTGCTCATCCCAGTGCTGCTGGGAGGCGGGCTCTGCTTCAGGACAGGGCACAGCGGCCTGTCTGCAGACAGACGGCCTGCAGCTGGGGCTGCCGCCACGCGCAGGGCACTGAGGGCCAGCTGCGCGCCCTCCAGTCTGGCCCTGGGGCCTGGGCGCTCGGGATTCTTCCGCACTTGGTTCTCATCTCTGCACTTAGCTCTCCCATATAATCCTCCCTCCTCCATGCTCAGGGCAGGGGCATTGCAACAGAATTTTTTAGCAGGTAACCGAGGGTTCAGAAGTCGTCTAGAGCTGTCTAGCAGAAGCTCTCAGTGGGGAGACTAACCCAAATCTTGTTTTAGACCCATACGCCTGCTGCAAGTACTGAGGAAGGTGCTGACAGCGGGTACCCAGGGGTGGCCAGTCTCCACCATGGCACAGGGCCACCTGGAGAACGACAGCACCGGCGGTGACACTGGCAGCCGATGCCAGGCCGCGAGGAGGCCGGTGCGGGCGGGGTGGGCTTCTTCCGGCTCCCCAGCCTGAGCAAAGTGCTAGCACAACGTCAGGGGCACTAATTCTTTTGATTTCAGGCTCGAGAGTAAACGAAACAAGAGAAAAGAAAAAAGAGACAGGCAGGCAGGGCAGAGACAGAGAAGAGACAGAGAGAAGGCATTTCTCAGACTGCATTACCTTAAGGATAATTTCTAATGTAAAGATACTAGTGAAGACATAGTCTGCATTGCCTAGGATCTGAAAAATAAGCACAGTTGGATTAGTGGCGCAGAGAGGGACCCGGACACCACAGGAGCATGTGTGTTAGGGACAGACAGCGGCAGCAGAGCTAGTGCCCAGGAGGACAGGCGGACGGGGGGAGGGGGCTTTACCTTCAGAGCAATTTCAATGGTGAAAATGGTAGTAAAAACAATGTCAAAATAAAACAGAATCTGCAAAACAAAGAGAAACAGAGTGGGAATGGGGAGGGAAGGGAGGAAGCAGGACGGGAGGAGAGGTCAGTGGCCGTTGACCAGAAAAGGAATAGCACTTCAGAACCACGAAAGCGCTGGCTGGGTGTCTCCGTGGGCTGGAGCGTCATCCCATGCGCCAAGACGTTCCGGGTTCGATTCCCAGTCAGGGCACACAACCAGGTCGCAGGTTCAATCCCCCATCGGGGCACATGCTGGAGGCAACCGATCGATGTTTCTTTATTACATCGATGTTTCCCTCCCTCTCTCTCTCAAATCAATGAACATGTCCTCAGGTGAGGATTAAAATAAATAATTAAAGCTTTAGAAAACAAAACAAAACAAAGAAGCCACGACACATGCCACTGGAGCCTGTCCACGTGGAGACGAATGGAGACTAGTCAGGGACAAGAGGCACAGCACTGGTCCCGAGCCGTGCGTCCGGCAGCTCTGGATGAAGTCCCAGTGTGTTAGGGGAGCTCCCAGGGCGGCCTGGCCGGTCCTGAGTTTGCACAGCATCTGGCACGATGCTGCTCTTGGTAATCCAATACTTACAGACCCACATCAGACCCCTGGGGTAAAGAGGTGTCACAAGGACAGACAGTGGTTCGCTTGTTTGTTTTTGCAGGGAGAGGCAAAGCGCTTAGCCGACGCTGGTGTGACCCAGCTGGCTGTCCACTTGGTGGAGATCTGCCTGGTGCGGTGCCCTTGGGGTGCGTCCTCCTGGTGAGGCCTATGCAGGCCGGGGCAGGGGGCTGCATGTTTCGTGTGTCATTACAGCTCAGTGGAGCAGAGCTGGGCCAACACCTTTCCTGGTAAAGATTCTCTGGACCAGGTAGGACCACCAAGTGGTGAGTACGGCTATGGCTTTAGATGGGTAGGCTCCTTTCTTCGTGCCCACCTGGTTGGGATTTGTTTTGAGGTTTTGAGATACAGCAAGTCTTATTTTAATCTTCAGTGTTGCTCATCGGAGCCTCAAGTGGGCCAGCTAGTTCAGTGTTCTACCCACGGAACGTCCCGGAGGCTCTCTTTCCTGTAAGGTCGGCCTCATCGGCACCGATCTGCCAACGCTCCCATGTCCCTAATGGTCAGGACTGCTCAGCGCCTACTGGGAGCAAGTCAGGGAGCCAGCGGCTCCTTTCTCACTAGGTTTACAGGAAACCAGAGCGTCCTGGAGAACAGCCACAGGGCAGTGAGCGTCCTGACCCTGCCAATCAGGCCAGCCTGAGGCTTTTGGGTACATGTTCTCGTACTTGCTTGTGGTCCTCAGATGGATCCTACCAAAGCCTTAATCTCTTAAGGACTGTTTATTTGACTACGAGATTTGGGGCTGGGGCTCCTGCGTGAACAGTGAGGTCAGAAGCTGTGGGCGCGGTTAGTCCCCGGGAGGAGGGTGCAGAGAACATGAGGGGTGCGTACGTGGTTCCTGAAGGAGGTGTGCTGGACGGGGTCCTCGGCAGCCAGCGAGATGCTGCTGAGCAGAATGAAGAAGAGGATCAGGTTGGTGAAGATGGTGTCATTGACAATGCGGTGGCACTGGAGGCGAAACCTGCGTGGGGAGGAGAAGAGACGAGGAGCATGTCAGGAAGGCAGGGAAGCAGCAATCTGGGTCTCAGGATCCCCAGGTCCTCCCTCCAGCGCACAGACGGTGCTCGCCAGTCTGGGGAGTGTGTTCTTCAGCCCGAAGTTTTCCCGCTGCTGGGTGAGGACGGCCATGAGCCCGCCCGCACCATGGGGCACGTCTGCACAGAACTGTGCCATTCTAACACCCTTTCGCTGACGGCAAACTCTTGGCATTTTAGAGGGTGACATCTGAGACCTTCAGGAATCTCTAAATCTTCAAATACTGCTGGGACATTAACAACTGGCTTTTGTTGTGGGACGTCTTCTCCCCATCATTAAAACAGCCCACTCAGAGATCGGGGACACCACAACCACCCAGAGATGTGGATGCTAGGAGGACGCTGAACCCGCACTCTGCTGAGGCGATTCACTCTGGGGACACCTTCAAGGACAACACTTCAAGTTCAGTCCCACACCTCAGCACAGTGACAGAGAACTGCGCAGGTGGACCTCTGGGCACCCCCCGAGAGTACCACAAATGCTATAGCCCAGAATGCCAAGGGTGTCACGTACTAGCTCATCTTGATGATTTAGAGAAGGGATATGGGGGATATCATCATTTTCATGTTATAAATAAAAACAATGAAATCCAAGAAGGAGAAGCTTGCCCAGAAACACAACCTGTAGAGTGAGGGAGTGAGGTCTTGACCTCGGCTCCTGGCCCTGTGGTCGGAGAGGCCCTGAGAGACCTGTCTGCTACAGAAGCACCAAACCCTGGAAAGGACAATTCTGGTGTCATGAGAGTTAGAAGAAGTCTGCAGTGAGCATCCCCTTTATTTATTGTAATGGTTTTCTTTCTTTATTTTTATAGAGAGAGGAAGGGAGAGGGAGAGGGAGAGAGAAACATCAATGAGAGCGAACATCGAGTGGCTGCCTCCTGCATGTCCCTCACTGGGGATCAGGTCCACAACCTGGGGATGTGCCCTGACCGGGGCTCAAACCAGCGACCTCTTGGTGTATGGGTTGATGCTCAACCACTGAGCCACACCGGCCAGGCAGTGAGCGTCCCTTTAAACAAACATAATAGATAGCCGGGAAGGGAGAGCTCCCTGCGGATGGGTGTCAGCAGCAGCACTGCTATCAGAAGACTTCATTTCAAGCCAGGAACAACGGGAAGAAAGCTTCCCCAGTAATAATTTAGGCCCACAGGAATCTCACCAATTAATATGAAGTATTGAGATCACAATCAAAGATCATTAAACATGCAAGTAAATGAGCCACTAAGATGGAAAATCAGGGAAAAACGACAACAACGAATATGTGATTTACACCTCCCCCTGCCAAAGACTGTGAATATTAAAAGTATCAGGTATGAACTACAGGGCAACCATGTTTGAAATGTTTAATGAAATAAAGGACTTGATCACAAAGATGATGAATCAATAGGTAAATGTTTGATATAGACAGATGAATCTGCAAAATCAAGCCACAAATGGAACTGCCTGAAATAAAAAAAAAAATATATGAGAGTCAATATAAAATCTGATTTAACAAAGACAAAGTTGAAGAGAGAATTAAGAAATTGGAAGATACATTTGAAGAAATTACCCAGCATACCAAGAGAGAGATAAGGAGATGGAAGATATGCAGGACACATTAGGAGACAGGGTAGACAGAATGAGAAGGTCTAACAGACGTCTAAGTGGAGTCCTAGAAGGAAGGAATAGAGAGATTGAGGAGGGGCAAAATTTAGAGGTTATGGCTGCAATTTTTCAAGAAGTAGCAATTCTTATTTTAATCTTCAATGTCATTCAAGAATTGAATAAAAATATAGATCCATAGACTTAGGAAGTATAACATATTCCAAACAAGACAAGTGGACAAAAGTCCACGTCCAGACACACAGCAGTAAATCTGCACAACATCAAAGGCAACAGAAGATGGTAAAAGCAGCTAGAGATGAGGGGAGATTACCAACAAAGAAATGATGGTAGGAATTAGAAATAACAGCAGATTTTACAGGGGAATAATACATTTTACACGCTGAGGGGCAAACCTTGTCACCTAAAATTGTATATGCAGCAAAACTAGTTTTAAGAATGAGAAATAAAAACAATTGCAGATAAACAGAGGCCCAATGAATTTATCATGAAGGAACTATAGGGACTTCTAAAGAATGTGCTTTAGGACACCTGAAACTAATATAATATCGTATGTCAACTGTAGTTGAAAAGTTAAAGAAAAAAAAAGTACAATTGAAAAAAAGAAGAGAATGTACTTTAAGAAGAAAAAAAAGATTGCAGAAGAATGGACTGGTATGTTGTCTGTATATCCAAATATATACTGTCTATATAATAAAACTGATCATAATGTCTAACTTAGGTTAACAATAAAGGTTAGGGCTAAATACTAACCAACAATAACATGTCAGGCAGGAGGGGGTCGAGAGGAGTTTAAATAGTCTAAGCTCCTATTTTGCATGAAGTTAAGGATACTTTGTACAAAGTTAAAGATCTTGTTTAGCTTTAGACTTTAAGTTAAATCGACTTACTAATTACCGAGAATAATCACAAAAAAGAATAGAAATAGAATTTACACATTTTAAAACATGGAGAGAAAAATAAACACAGGCCTTCTGGCTGGGAATCCAGACTGTTCCCTATAAAGAGCTAAGGGGCAGCCTACCGACAAAGAAACGGCAGTGCGGATGACAGCTACTGGACCGTGGAATGATGCGTTTACCAGGCTCTGTCCCTCTCTGCACACACGCTGCGGGAGTCGGGCAGTCCCAGGCTCTGCCCAGAGGCTGCCCTGCTGGCCTTGGACCGCGGAGAGCGCAGTCTCCCCTCCCCCACCATCCTCACCCACCTGTTGTTGGGGCTGAAGATGAAGAACGCGCTGGCTTCGGGCATGGGCACTGCCTTCTCCTTAAGGTGCAGCTCCGAGAGGGGGCGTGGGCGTGGGCCCACCGGCATCTCAGGCTCCTCCTCATCCTCTTCTCCTGTAACAAAAAATACGCACCTTCTAAATAACCCCACTGCCACCACTTAGCTCTATCACTGCGCTGCCTGCTTTCAGATACATTCCTACTGACGAGAATCATGACAGCGTTTGCATTTCTGAAAACACAGGGTACCAACTGAGACAGACCCTCAGCTGTCTCCTGTGGGCACTTGCTGGAGGTCATCTGTGTTAGAGTAAGACTTTCCTGGCAGGACACGATAAGGGGGTGTAAGTAGGGTTCCTGACTCATGCCAGTTTGCCCAGCACCGTACTGTTTTTTTTGTTTGTTTGTTTTTATTTTTTTGGTACGTGCCCGTAGTGGGAACTGAGCCCAGGACTCTCTGGTCCACAGGCCTATGCTTCAACCGCTGAGCCAAACCGGCCAGGGCCCATATTGGTTTTTAAAATGAAATTCCCGCATCCCAGGAAACCCCTCAGACCATGCAGTCTGGGATGGCTGATCGTCCTGGTGGTGAGGCACGAGAAAAGGAGACCAGGTTAGACCAGGGCACTGCCAAGGGGGGAGGGGGATGGCTTAGTTGACTTGTGAAATCTTGCAAACAACCCATCCTTGCAGGTTCCGGGAGTTTAAAATCAACACTGTCCTCATTCCTGAAAATACACACAAAAAAATCATGCGCCGTCGGGACATTGGGGCAAAAGACCGCAAGAGGCCCTTCATTCAAAGCCTAGACACTCCTTTCTTCTCTGTCCAGTGGCCACTTTGGATGTGGACCAGAGGCAAACGGCTTCTCCCTTTGCTGCACTGTCCATGGAAGGGGACCTGTTATCAAAGGCATTTAAAATGTTTTGAAGGGAAATGGGAGTCAGGACAATAGTATGGTCCTGAAATAACTTCTCTCTCCAACTCTCCGAGTTCAAAGCCCTGTCAGGACTACCCTTGCCCGCGAAGCCTCCCTGATGTGCCCCCCCCCCCCCCCCGCTCTCCTCCTCCAACCCCTTGCAGCAATTCAAGCATCCCCCACACATCTGGTCCCGTCCCATACAGAGGCTGGTGTCCTTCACCTTTCTTCTTCATTGTACTTGTTCATTTTAACTCCTTAGGGACTCTTAAGAATACATGTATGTTCACGCAAATCAATCAATCAATTACATAAAAGCACAATCTTGGCACAATCTCTGCTGGGCGAGGAGATATTTCTAAAATGTTCTGTATGGCAAGCCGGGAGGCTAGACCGGTGAGCTTTGGAGAGTAAACAGAGAGGACAAGACTGCCTGGCACCGCTGGCCCGCACGCTGCTCTGCGAGTTAGAAACGGTCCCTCCCTGGGGCGTCCGCGCAAGGGCTGAGGCCCGGGCCAGCCGCGTAGGCTCAGCTCAGCCCCTACTCAGCTGCCACACACGCCTTCGGGTCCATCCCGGACACGCAGACAGCAGCCTGGAGAGGGGTGAGGGCAGAGGGAGCAAGGAGGGGCAGGAGGAAAGCAGAGAGTGCTCTGGCACGTCCCTTCTCTCTGGGAGTCCGGTGGGAAGTAGGCCGGGCCGCGCTCCTCCGAGCTGCCGCCCAGGGGCACAGCGGGGCCAGCTGCCCAGAAGCTGCCAAGGCAGAAGGGCAGCAGCGGGGAGGACGACCACACGTGAGAAAAGCAGGCAGGAGCCAGGCACGGACTAGGACGGAGACGTCGGGTCACGGGGTGTCTCCTGCCCCTGGTCCTAAGGGAGCCAGAGCTGCGAGCAGAGCAGGGAAGGGGGCGCGGGCGGCAGGACCTGGGAAGCAGAGGCTGACTTGGCCTTGGGGGAGGGGCGGGTGTGCGGAGCCACCAGCTTGAAGAGCCCTCTGTCCGTGGGTGAGGAAATGGGGACCAGAGACAGTGTACCCACGGAGGGGGCCCCGGAGCTGGCTTTGAGGCCCGAGCGGTGGGGGTGGGTGGCTGAGGCAGGACACGGACCAGAGGTAGGAGAAGCTTGGGACCGAAAGAAACAAAGGCCTGGGTGGGAAAGAGGGTAGAGAGGGTGGTCACATGATCAGGGTAGAGGACGAGTCCTAAAAAAAACCCTCAAGAATCCCGAGGAGGCAGTGTGGGAACAGCTCCTCCCTTTCAAAGCAAAACCATTCCAAGAGTCCTTAAAGCCCGGGCTCCGAGGGACATTCCCATGGTGGCTGATACGGTGACAACGGTGTCCTCATTAGCCTCTTTCCCCTTGACCTGCTTCTGTTTGATTTCTTTAGAGCAAAAAAGAAGGGAGAAGCCGCAAGCATCTTTAGAAGGATGAAATTGGAGGCTCTGGTCACAGGTCTGGTCTGCCCGCCGCCCAGCGGCCCCAACTGCTCAGGCTCCGTCCTGAGGCTCGGGCAGGTGGGCTGACTCTGCTTGGGGCCCAGAGAGGTTGTTCGATGGCTGTCCTTCTTTTCAAACTTGAATGCTAGTGCTCCTCCTGATAACAATCCCATGAGCAGAGAGCCTGGCATGGAGGACCGCCACGCCCAGCTTCAGCAACTACTGACAGTTGGCCCATTCTGTTTAATTTATTTCCCTGTTCCCATTTTTTAAAAATTGGATTATTTTAAAGCAACTTCTAAATATTTTAGACTCCAGCTACAAACACTTCAGCATTTTAAAAATAGAACTACAATGATATCATTATACTAACAAGATGAACAGAAACTACTTAAAAGCATTTCGTTCCCAGTTCATATTCAATTTTCCCCAATCATCTAAAAAAAAAAAGTCATTTCAAAGTTTATCTGTTCACACAGGATCAGACGAAATCCTCCCATTGCTTCGGGCCAATATTTTTCTATGTCTTTGAAATTCTGTAAGGGTTGCCTCCCCGAGGGTTTTAAAACTTCAAAATGCTCAGGACCTCCCACACCTGGAAACATCCTTCCCGCTCGCTCGCCTGTCTGAGCCGCAGGAAGCCCAAACCCATTTCCCCTGCAGAGCGAGGTGGGACAAGGGAAGGACCGCAGGGGGCCTGCTTCCCCTGAACCACAGAAGGTGGCTGAGGGGGTCCTTGCAGAGAATCCAGCAGAGAACCGGGGAGGGAAAGCAAAAGGAAAACCCAGCTTTGCTTATAAATGCAGGTTGTCAGCCATCTGACGTGCTTACCACCCCAAAGACAGCCTGACCTACGCAGAGAAGGAGACACCAGTGAAATCAACGGTCCCTGATTGTATGTGGCTGACTGCACGCTTGAGGCTGCAGATAATATCTTCAGTTGCAGGTAAAAGGAAGGCAAACCCGGGGCTGGAACAGGTGTGGGGTTTCGGGAGGCAGAGCCGTGAACCCTGGAGGGAGGCCGAAGGAACTGGGACATTCAGAACCTCCCGGAGGAGACTGTCTGCCATGCACACATGACAGAAGAAGAGAGGACTGAGCTGGTACTAGCGCTTTTTATAATAAGGCGCCCGAAAGCGGTTTGCAAAGCGATGAGGGGGACATCTGTGCTGGCAGCTGTCCTTACACTCAGCACTGCCTCCGGAGCAAGGACAAGACAGATTTGGAATTTACTATTATTATTTAGCGTGCATAATGCCGCGACATATGTTAGACTAATGAATCATATAAAGTTAATAATGACTTTACAATGTAGGATATAATAAAACCTTAAATGTTTACAGAATCCATCTTCCACAGGACACAAAAGCACAGACATAATTTATTCAGTCTTATACGATTATGATGAGCAAACCGGGAGCAGCGTTCCCCCCGATGGTAATTGGTGACATTTAAGTACAGAGACTGGGGACATTTCGCAGTGCGAGGTGCTTGTGGAGGGAAACCGGAACCACGGTTCCCTAACACGTGGCTCCTTTCGCGTGGCCTTAGAATTGGGGTCGCCCCCCTCCCCCAGCCCCCACCAGGGTCAGGTGGTGGAACCGCACCTGTAGTTTCTGGGTTGGGGTAGACACTCTTATCCTCGTTTTCATTGGGCTGGAGGTCATCCATGTTGATCTAGACAGCCAAGGGAGAGAGGACGGAGAACCCAGTTAGAAGTGTCCCAAGGGTTAGAGGCTCAGAGTAGCTCTGAAGCTGCGTTCCAGGCAGTGGCTGAGCTGTGGACTCAAAAATGTATCCTTATTACTGTGCACAGCCCCTGCAGATGTCACAGAAGGCTGGGGTTCACCTACTCGGCCTGCTCTTCATGTTCCCGCTCTCCTGTGCCATCCTCACTGACTTAGCCCGCAGGCCTGTCCCTCTTCCCGTGGCTGCCTGGCTCCCGGAGGGGGCTGCTCACCTTGGTGGTGGGCGGGGACTCTCCGTCAGCTGTGATGGATTTCAGCTCGATTTTCTCCTCCTTGGTCTCCTCCACGGCTGGCTTCTCCACCACCTCCTGTTTCTTCTCTGGGCTGGCAGTCCTGGCCGGTCCGCAGGAAGAAAAATAAAGAGATGTTTACTGGAGTGATGGGGAACAGGGTTAGGGAGCTGCCCTGGCGTCTGAGGGGGGCCAGTGGGAGAGACTCTCTGTGCCGATGGAGGTCCACCTTCCCGCACCCAGCCCACGTGCAGCCCGAGCACAAACGCCACTGGGCTGGGCCCAGGACCCCAGCACCTGGCCATGCCCTGCCCTGCCCGGTACACCTTGCTCTGCCCCGTACACCTTGCCCTGCCTGGTACACCCCTGCCTGGTACACCTTGCCCTGCCCGGTACACCTTGCCCTGCCTGGTACACCCCTGCCCGGTACACCTTGCCCTGCCTGGTACACCCCTGCCCGCTACACCTTGCTCTGCCCGGTACACCTTGCCCTGCCTGGTACACCCCTGCCCAGTACACCTTGCCCTGCCCGATACACCTTGCTCTGTCCGGTACACCTTGCTCTGCCCCGTACACCTTGCCCTGCCCGGTACACCTTGCCCTGCCTGGTACACCCCCTGCACGGTACATCCCTTCTTGCCCATGCATGGTACACCACTGGCCCCGCTACACCCTCTGCCCTGACTGGTACACCCCTGCCCCAGTAAACCTTGCCCTGCCCGGTACACCTTGGCTCTGTCCAGTACAACCTTGCTCTGCCTGGTACCACCTTGCCCTGCCTGGTACACCCTGCCCGGTACCATCTTGCTCTGCCCGGTACACCTTGCCCTGCCTGGTACACCCCTGCCCAGTACACCTTGCCCTGCCCGATACACCTTGCTCTGTCCGGTACACCTTGCTCTGTCCAGTACACCTTGCTCTGCCTGGTACACCTTGCCCTGCCTGGTACACCCCTGCCCGGTACATCTTGCTCTGCCCAATACACCTTGCCCTGCCTGGTACACCCCTGCCCAGTACACCTTGCCCTGCCCGGTACACCTTGCTCTGTCCGGTACACCTTGCTCTGTCCAGTACACCTTGCTCTGCCTGGTACACCTTGCCCTGCCCGGTACACCTTGCCCTGCCTGGTACACCCCTGCCCGGTACATCTTGCTCTGCCCAGTACACCTTGCCCTGCCCGGTACACCTTGCCCTGCCTGGCACTCGGTTGGCCTTCTCCAGCCCCTGTCTAAGTCAGAGAAAGGTCCCGGATCTCATCTGGGATTGGATCCCGGAGAACCCTGCTCGGCACCCAGCAGACACGTGGCCTGTGTCAGTCCCATCTAGGCAATGACAGGAGACAATGCAGGGCCCGATTTCGCCTTCAGAACAGTGAGAAGGACTCTCTCCCACCTGGAGTGCAGTCCCCTCTGAGTGGTGGCCTCTGCTCCCCTCACCTACGATGACCCCACATCCTAGACAGGTGGGGGGATGCAACACCCTCCCAGAGGCTGTAGTTCATGATGGCACCCCCTTTACAGCAATGCCTAGGAATTAGGGGAGAGGCCCAACTTACTCTAGGAGTCCCAAACCCAGTGCCTTCTGGGAGGGGCAGAGGCCATGCCCACACCTCGTTCCCACCAGTGGGGATGGCCTACCGGAACCGGGCCCTGGGCCTGGGTCAGCTTCGAGGGTTACCTGGCCAGCTTCTTCCTCTCCTTCTCCTCTTCTTCCTCCTTCTGGGCAGACGTGAGGCTCTCGGCATCGGCCAGGTTGTCCACGGCAATGGCCAAGAACACATTCAGTAGGATATCTGTTTGTGTCCATTCTTAAAGAAAACGACCCTTGGCCTTGGGGGTTTTGGTGGGCATAGGGGGCAGGAAGGGGGCAGGACATGCAGGGGTGGAGTTCCCCACAGACAGAGCTCAACAGTGACTCACTTCGAGGGATGCTGAGCTCAGGGGTGTCCCTCTTCCGTCCCCCTGCCTCCCCATCACCTCTCTAGCTCCCTGGAGTTTCTAAGGGGCTGAGAGCAGGCTGGTTTCCAGGCCAGAGGAGGGAGGAGGCAGTGAGCCCTGCCCTGCTCTTTAATTGCTGGGTTTCATTATTGGTTTCCCCACAGAGAGGACTGGCTGTAATTGACATTATAAACAGCATTGTCTCTAAGAGAACGCAGAATGCTCTTAAGAGCTGTTCATTGCAACTGGGCCCTGAGGAGGCGGCCTGGTCTCTCTGCCAACTCCTTGTGTGAGCCGCCCCTACGGAGACCTTGGCGGGTTGAGGGCAGCTGGCCAAAGCTTGGGAAGTCCTCACCGAGGTGACCGTTTGCCCTTTCCTTCCCCCTCCACCCCAGCCTCGCCCAGGAACACTGGGTCAGAGGAGCGCAGACGCAAAGGAGGGCTTGCTGGATGGGGTCTTAGCGCTTGTTAAGTCTGAGCTCCACCCCCAGGCACCCAACAGTCATCCCACGACACACACAGGGAACCACAGTGGGGGTTGAGGGCTTGTCCAAGACGCTGCTGGTGCCTGCCCTTGGGCCTGACCCCACTGACCCTCACCACGACCCACTGAGTCGCAGGTGCTACCACCTGTCACCCCAGTGCACGGTTCGCAGCAGCCGGCCGGCCTGTCTGCGGGCCGCTGCCTTCTGCACTGTGTTGAAGCTGCAAGTGAAACCCGAGTCTCCTCCGCACCCGCCTCTGCACACACCCCACAGGTTCCCGGCCAGGAGAGAGGAGTGCCTACCCTGGGGACCCTAAAACACGCCCGTGGTCTGCCAGGCCTGCCTGCCGAGGCCTGCCCAGCTCCTCCTGCCACAAAGCCGCGGAGAGTGGCTTCAGAGGGGGGACACTGAGCAGAGAGCAGGGGGTCATTTCAAGAATGAGGTTCAGTCAACTACACCTGCCACCTCCATTAGACCAGGGCAGCCAGAGTGCCCAACCCAGGTGGGCTCACATCAGGGTCTCTGGGAGAGGTGCTGTTCACCTCGACTGTGACGAGCAACGCCTCCCGGAGCCGGGCGACGCTGCAGCCAGGACAGGACAGGAAGATGGACTTACGTCCCATCTGTGCCAAAGGTCCTGGCTTCCTTCCACCGAGACCCACCTCAACTAAGGTGGTCTGGGCTGGGAACTGTTTTCTCCCCAGAACATGCCTTTCCCCACTAGTCTGGGGGCCCTGTGGAGGGGCAACCACAGCTTTCCGCCCGAGTCAGGGCCTGTGGGCACACCCCCTGGGCATCGTGCTGTAAGCTGAGGGAGGGCGGGTGGTAGGGCTGGGGAGGCAGGAACAAAGGATACAGTTTCCACAGATGAAGAGGATGATGAAGTAAATACAGACTAACATCCCTGGAAAAGAGGGGCCGCCATAAGCCATGATCCCATCATACATCACCGAATTCCAGTCCTCCCCGGTCAGGATCTGAATGACACATTCCCACCAATAAGGGACACAGCGTTAGACCAACAGCAAACCCCAAACTCCCCTGCCCTGCCCCACTCTGCTAACAAGAACGCCCCGAAATCTCTTTCCACCTCTGGCCTCCTCCTGGCCCCCAACTCTCCTCCCGGGGACTCTGAGCTATTGCCCTGGTGAGCTGACCCTGTCCTTGGACGAAGGGCATGACCCCTGGCATGCTGTTATCTGAGGAGTGACTGAAAGGGCTTCCCGGTCAAAACATCTGCTGCTCCTGACAATCAGTGCACGAGATGGCCACCACCAGCCACTCCTTGGGTCAAGGCAGCAAGGGCCCCTTTACAAATGCGAATGAGTTCGCTGGGAAATAGCACAGTCTCCAGTTCTCTCCAAACACTAGTCATCTGGGTCCCAGCTTGAAGACTTCGGCAATATCCACATTGTTATTCACCTTTATCTGTAAATCGATCTACTTTTAAACTTCAACAACTGCTACTTTAGCTTTGCCCTAAGTCAAAATATCTATGAAATCACAGATTTAGTGGGCGAGTTGTATTTTCCTAGGGGCCAGCACGGTGGATGGAAAAGACAGAGCCGTCCTCTCCCCTCCCACAACAGAGCCGTCTGCTTGCATTTGTTTATATGTTGGGCTTCCATGTTGAATTTATTTGCACAAAGGGCCCCGTGTCTAAGAAGGAGTTTTTAAACTTCTCAGATCTGTTTTAGCGGCCCACCCGGCAGTGGGCTCCGTGGGGGACTGCCGGTAGGGGACTAGAGAAGGGACCCACGGTTCTTGTGGGCATGGACCCTCCATGGCTCATCTAGCTGGCTTTGGCTGCCCGGTGCAAGGGCGAGCTTCCCCCACCTTGCCAAGGCCCCTTCTTCCTGCTGCCCCCTCACCCCACCACCCAGTCACCCTCCCGGTCATCTTCCCCGCAGAGTCCATACCTGGAACACGGTGAGGAGGGACTGGGGGAAGTTATCAAACGTGCTCCTCCGGGTCTGCATCTCATCAAAGTTGAACTTTCCTCCAAAGAGCTGCATCCCCAGGAGGGAGAAGATGATGATGAAGAGGAAGAGGAGCAGCAGCAGGGAGGCGATGGAGCGCACGGAGTTCAGCAAGGATGCCACCAGGTTGCTTAAGGAGTTCCAGTACCTGAGGACCAAAGGAGGGGTCGGCGTCTTCTCCCAGGCTTCCCGAGCTCCCTGCCTCAGCCACACCCGCCAGAGAGGGTGATGCGGCTCGGCCCCCTCCTCCTCCCCCTTTCCTGGGGCAGTGCTGTGGTTTGCGGTGGGCTGGTAGGCTCCCAGTTGGGACGGGCAGCGAGTTGGTTCAAGGTCCCGGATCAGTGATGCGTAGTGGAGAAGGGACAGGGCTGAGCCGTCAGCGCCCGGGTTCTGACCTAGCCTGTCGCTAGCTGTGTGTGCCCTTGGACAAGTCACTTAACTTCCTGCCTCCCCACCAGAAAACATAGAGACCAGAGTAGCCCATGCTGCCTTAACTTATTGGGAGGATCCCATGGGATAACAAAAAAGAAAAAGCCCCCAGTCTAGTGTGTGGCACTCAGTTGATAAAGGTTAGGTAGTGTTGTTACCACTACTCGGTTTTAGATGGAAGGAGCCCCCCCCCCCCCGCCCAAATGCTGCCCTCAGCCTGCCCAGGCCACAGCTGTCTAGCAGAGGTGGGGGTAGGTCACCCGTGGGTAAGAGAGGGTGTGTTGATTAGCAAAGTTTCCCAAATTTACCCTGTCCAAAGAATTGGTTTTTTAAAAAGCCTTTCTTCTGAGATCCTGATTCAATGGCTGTAATTTGAGGCCCAGACACCCGTATTTTTCCCCCATCACCATTTATCCTCCTATACCCTGTTTCGCAACCCCCCACCCCACAATCACCACACTGTTGTCCTTGTTCATGAGTTCTTTCTCTCTCTCTCTCTTTTTTTTTTTTGCTTAATTCCTCCAACCCCACCACCACCCGAGTTGTCCGCCTGCCCTCTATCTGTGAGTCTGTCTCTATTTCGCTTGTTAGTTCAGTTTGTTCGTGAAATCCCACATATGAGTGAAATTATATGGTACTTGTCTTTCTCTGACTGACTTATTTCACTTAGCATAAAGCTCTCCAGGTTCATCCATGCTGTCGCAGAGGATAAAATTTCCTTCCTTTTTATAGCCAAGTCTATTTCATGATATAAATGTACCACAGCTTTTTTATCCACTCATCTACTGATGGGCACTTGGGCTGCTTCCAAATCTTGGCTGTTGTAAATAGTGCTGCAATGAACATGGGGGTGCATACATTTTTTCTAATTAGGTAGTCTATTCAATAAATGGCGTTGGGAAAATTGGACAGGTACAAGCAAAAGAAAAGAAACTAGGTCACCTCTTACTTCACACACAGGAATAAACTCAAAATGGATAAAAGACTTAAATGTTAGACTCAAAATCATAAAACTCCTAAAAGAAAACATCGGCAGTAAAATCTCAGACATTTCTTATAGAAATATTTGTTCTGATATATCTCCTCAGGCAAGGGAAACAAAAGAAAAAAAAAATAAACGAATGGGACTACATCAAACGAAAAAGTTTTTGCACATGCCCTGGCCGTTCTGGCTCGGTGGTTGGAGCACTGGCCCGAAGACCAAAATGTTTCAGGTTCGATTCCAGTCAAGGGCATGTACCTCAGTTACGGTTCAGTTCCCGACTCTGGTTGGGGTCATGCGGGAGGCAACCAGTCGATGTATCTCTCTCACATGGATGTTTCTCTCTCTCTCTCTCTCCTCTCATTCTGTCAGAAGATAAATGGAAAAATGTCCTCAGATGAGGACATGTTATGCACAGCAAAGGAAACCATCAACAAAATGAAAAAAGAACCCACTGAATGGGAGAACACATTCACCGATACATCTGATAAGGGATTAATATCCAAAATTTATAAAGAACTTACATAACTCAACACTGAGAAAACAAAACAAAAAACAATCCAATTAAAAACGGCCAAAGGACCTGAATAGACACTTCTCCAAATAGGACATTCAGATGGCCAACAGACATGTGAAAAGATGCTCAATGTCACTAGTCATTAGAGAAATGCAAATTAAAACCATAATGAGGTATCACCTCACACCTGTCTGAATGGCCACCATCAACAAATCATCAAACAACAAGTGCTGGCGAGGGTGTGGAGAAAAGGGGACTCATGTGCGTTGCTGGTGGGAATGCAGACTGGTGCAGCCACTGTGGAAAGCAGTATGGAGTTACCTCAAAAAAATTAAAAATGGAATTGCTTTATGAACCATTGATTACACTTCTGGGAATTTATCTGAAGAGACTAGACACCTGTGTTTTTAACAAGCATCCCAGAGGATTCTAACAAGCAGGCAAGTTTGGGAAAACCTGTTTCACCCCCAGGGACAGATGGGCTGTGGGCGGGCCTCCTGATAGTCACCAACCTTCTCTCCCCTGTAAATAAACGCTGAGGTCCTTCATTATAGCTTGAGGAACGTCCCTTTCTCTGGGAAAGGGGGTGGGAGGCCTACTCATGGCTGCCGGGCGAGGCTCGGGTACCCGTGAGAGGGTCAGTTCGGGAGAACGAAATGCCCTGGAGCAGAAGGGGTGCAGCCGTGGCCGGCAGCAGGTGTGAGAGCAGAGAAATGTGGTTTGTGCACAGCTCCACGCCAGCACTCTGTGCTCCAGGCCACGATCGGATGTCCTCCATTCAGACCCTCCCAGCTCGGTGCCGCAGGCACAGTGAAGTGCTTCTGCCGCCGAAGAGAGTGACACGCGAACCACCCCCGTGACAGCCTCGCAGCTGCAGCCCGGCACCTCTCTGAAGAACCGTCCCACAGTAAGTGACAGAGCAGACGGGCCACCAGTTTGGATGTCACCACGAACGCCTTTAATGCTCCTTTCTCCTTTCCAGCTGAGCCGGCCCTACACCCTCTGTTTGCAGAACAGCCATACACACTTAGCGGTACCGGTTCTTCAAATGCTCTTGCGGGTTTTTCGTTGTGACAGTCTTGTCTCACCAGAACTGGCTCTGAGTTCTCGCGGGCAGAGACCAGAGGTTTTTTCCCTCCCATTCTCTCCATCCCAGTTCCCAAATAAATTCCGTGTAACCCCGTACATGTGACAGACTGCCTGGGGCCCCAGGAGGCTAGAGGGTGTAGCAATTGTCCTGTTAAAGCAAGAACTGAGAGACGCTCTCTGGGGCTAGAACGCCCTTTCCGTTGACAGCTAAGGCAATGTTCCCAAACACGCCGGAGACAAAGACTGCACAGAACGGCTCTCGTGCTTTCTAAGTACTGACTCCCCGGCCCCAGCGGAACCATGAAATCACAGTCTGTGGTGTTGGGCGCCCTGGTTCTCATGCAACCAACCACCTGTCGGTCAACTGGTGTTTACAGACTAGTAACTTGAGAGCGTATTTGTACTTTCCGGCTGTACCAGAAGGGGGCGTGTCGACAGGTAGATTGAGGTGGGAAAGACAAGGGGACAGGGGTGTGTGGTGGGACAGGGTGGTGGTGTGGGACCTCACACCACATCCATTGCTGTCTGCATCTCCCCCACGCCATTCCTTTCACCACAGCTCCCCTAAATTCACGGGCCGCGCTTCCGAGATTCCTACCGGTCCAGACCACACGTGGAACAATTATGTTGCGAGAAGGGGCTGGTGGTTGCCAGAGGCAGGGGTGGTGGTGGGCGTGCGGAGTGGGTAAAGGGGGTCAAAGGTTCACATTTCCAGTTAAAAAATAAAATGGTTATGGGTGTGCCATCTACAGCATGGTGCCTGTAGTTAGTGCTGTATTGCACCTTTGAAAGTTGCTAAGAGAGTTAAGTCTTTAAAATCCTCCATCATAAAAGCTATTTTTGGTAACTGTGGTGATGGATGTTCACCAGACTTACTATGGTGACCATCTGACAATACAGCAGCCCCCCCCCCATCCACAGGGGATACAGTCCAAGACCCCGGCGGATGCCCGAAATCACAGATAGCACGGAACCCCCTATGTGCTGACTTCCCTGTGCGTAAGGACAGTTACGGCTTCTCTTTGGCATAACCGAATTCCAGCACCACTGCTCTGTGCTCTGGGTCCATTGCTAAGTAAAATCGGGGTTACGTGACCGCGAACCCTGCAGTGGCATGACAGCCGATCTGACAACTGGGGCAGCTACCAGGTGATGAACGGCGGGCAGCGTGGACGGCGCTGGGCCAGGATGGGTCCCTTCCCGAGGGGGACAGAGGTGCTGCACCCATTTCATCCCTCTCCTGAGAACACTGTGCACTTGAAAACGTATGGATTGTTTATTTCTGGAATTTTCCATTCAATATTTTCAGACTGTGGTTGACCTCAGGCAACTGAAACGAAGAAACCACGGGTAAGGGGACTACTGCGTATACAAATATCAAATCATTCTGTTGTATACCTGAAACTAATACAATGTCTTATGTCAATTACATCTCAATTTAAAACCAAAGAAACTGTCAGGTGTCAACTTGCCCCATAGAACACAGGAGGCTATGGCTCGGAGACCCTCGCGTTGGATTTCCAGAGGAGCACTGTGAACATGAGTCTCCCTCTGGGAAGAACGCTCATCCTAACCCAGGCACCGGCCTGAGGGCCGGGGAGCCCTTGCTGGAGAGACAGCGGCAGCCAGGGGCACCGCCACCTCCCACCCTCCTCAAGAGAAACACCCGGCTGCACGGACGCTGCTCCGTGAACCAGGCACCGGGCGGGACACAGCTGAGACAAATGGAGAGCGTGGCTGTTTGCGCTGTTTGCCTTCAAACCCCATTCCACCCGGGCAGGGCGGGGTCCTCCCGTGGCTGGCCTGCCACCTGTACTTTTGTTCCTTCGAGCATCACAAGGGCACTCTGTTGAGCGGAGGCTGTCCGCCCCCTGTGGGCCCGTGGTGGGAGAGGGTGCTCTCTAAAGACGGAGGCGCAGCCATGCTCGGGTGGTGCGGGGACAAAGAACACACAGGGCGGGGTCTGGGGCCAGGCAGGCCCGAGCTGGAGCAGGGTAGGAGTGGGGCCTCACTGCCATTAATGTCACTGAGCTCTGCAGGGCCGGCGGCAGCCTGTGGGCAGAGTGACATGAAATGCCACTTGGACAGCAGGGCAGGCAGGCAGCCCTGCAGGTCCTCAAACACTCGCCTG